AGTAATTCTGCCTCAACCTCCTTGTTGAACAGTCTGCCCACTTTAGTCTCTGCCAGAAATCACTCCTGTACTTAAGAGTTGAGGGAGCCTAGCAGTGATGGTGCTTGCTCTTTAGTCTCAGCACTCCGGAGGCAGAGGCAGGCGGATCTCTGTGAGTTGAGGGCCAGCCTGGTCTACAAGAGCTGGTTCCAGGACAGAGTCCAAAGCTATAGCGAAATCCTGACTTGAAGAACCAAAAACCAAAGCAAACAAAAAACAAAAATCACACAACAACATTATTATTCTTGTTTCGTGTGTATGGTTGTTTTGTCTTTGTGTGTGTCTGTGTACTGTGTGTGTGTGCCCTGTGTCCTTGAAGGCCAGAAGAGGGTGTTAGATCCCCTGGAGCTGTTGTCAGCCACTTTGTGGGTGCTAGGAATCGAACCTGGGCCTCTGGAAGAAGAAGTGTTCTTAACCACTGAGCCACCTCTCCCTCCCTCCGTGCTGCTTGATTTTAGCAGATGTTTTATATGTAGCCACAGCTGCTTGGAGTTTATATGTGCAAGGTTCCTGTCATGTCTAGAAAACACTGTTTCCTGGCAGTCTTTCACAGTCTCTCATTATTGCAATCTTTCCACCTCCTCTTCTGTGATGCTCCCTGAACCTTGAGGGGAGGGGATGTGGTGCTACAGCCTCTTATTCTCCACACTTTAAACAGTTGTGACTGTGTGCGTACAGTGTGTGTGAAGGTGCATACAGTGTGTACAGGTGCGTATTGTTTGTACCGTGTGCACAGGTGCGTACAGTGTGTAGGTGCGTGCAGTGTGTGTGCAGGTGTGTACAGTGTATGTACAGGTGTGCACAGTGTGTATACAGGTGCGTACCGCGTGCAGTGTGTATACAGGTGCGTGCAGTGTGTATACAGGTGTGTACAGGTGCGTATTGTTTGTACCGTGTGCACAGGTGCGTACAGTGTGCAGCGTGTGTGCAGGTGTGTGCAGTGTGTGTGCAGGTGCAGGTGTGTGCAGTTTGTATACAGGTGCGTACAGTGTGTGTACAGGTGTATACAGTGCAGTGTGTGCAGGTGTGCACAGTGTGTATACAGGTGCGTGCAGTGTGTATATAGGTGTGTGCAGGTGCGTACAGTGTGTGCAGTGTGTGCAGCTGCGTATAGTGTGTATACAGGTGCGTACAGTGTGTATACAGGTATATACAGTATGTATGGTGTGTGTGCAGTGTGTGTACAGTGTGTGCACAGTGTATACAGTCTGTGTACAGGTATGTGCAGTGTGTGCAGTGCCTACAGTATGTGTACAAGTGTGTAGAGTGTGTCCAGTGTGTGTGTGATGTGTGTACAGGTGTGTATAGGTGCATACAGGTACATACAGTGTGTGTACAGGTGCCCACAGAGTTCAGAAGAGGACATCAGATCCCCTGGAGCTGTAGTCACAGGTGTTGTGAACCATCTAGTATGGGTGCTGGGAGCTGAGCTTGGGTCCTCTGAAGAGCAGTACAAGTGTGTAACCACTGAGCAGTCCAACCCCGCCACTTAACTGCGTCTGCAGTTCAGAGCCACTGGTGCAAAGTTTTGAGAGTGTTGCTGTGACGAGCAAGAAGATGTCAGTTTTTCCTTGGGCTTGTGAAGCCAGCAGAGTCAGGCCTCTGGTAGCAGTCGCTGATCTCCACTGTGTCTTTGGCTTTGCAGTCCCTGTGGTGAAACCCACCGTGTTACCTGGAACCAAAGCCCTGCCTACTGTTTCTGCACAAGCAGCTGCTGCACAGAAAAACAAGCTCAAGGAGCCAGGGGGAGGCTCCTTTCGGTAAGGCTGACATCTGTTACTTGAGGGAGCGCATGGGAGGGAGCGTTGTCCACTTCACTGTTAGGTCTTCCCTACTGGTTTGTGGCACTGGTAGCCCCAGGACTGTTCTTTCTGCTTGATTCTGACTGCATGTTTCTGTCAGTGTGTGTTTCCAACATGAATGCATCAGTGGAGGCTTCATGCCCTCCGCAGGAATGGAGAACAGGTCAGCTGACTGGTTCCTTGCCACCTGCTTGCTGCCACCGAGTTGTAACCACCTTAAGGAGCTGTGATTTCCTCATACAACATAATCCTCTGCTCCTCTCCTCTCCAGGGATGACGATGACATCAACGATGTTGCATCAATGGCTGGGGTGAACCTGTCTGAAGAAAGTGCAAGAATATTGGCCACAAACTCTGAGTTGGTGGGGACACTGACTCGGTCCTGTAAAGATGACACCTTCCTCCTCCCCGCACCTTTGCAGAGGAGGATACTGGAAATAGGTATGTTTGTTCCTGATGATGTCAGTAGGATGCTCAGTGTCCAGATCTGTGTCTGATGTGCTCCGTGACCCTGACGAGACTCAGCACAGCCCTTCTGCAGTAGCTCCACTGGGTGCGGGGGCTGTAGGTGAGCGTGCCTTCTGCCTTGGTTTGGGCTCACCCCATGATGGCTCTTCTGGTGGTTGGCAGGTAGTGGAAGGGTGGGCAGTGTCTGCTTAGGTTGCCCTTGATTGTACAAAGCAGTAAGTAGTGGATGAGCAAAGCCAGTGTGGTAAGTACCATAAAGTGCTCTTTTTCTGCATGGCCTGCAGGTAAAAAGCACGGCATCACGGAACTCCATCCAGATGTAGTGAGTTATGTGTCTCATGCCACACAGCAAAGGCTGCAGAATCTTGTAGAAAAAATATCTGAAACAGCTCAGCAGAAAAACTTCTCTTATAAGGTAATGGGGCTATTTTCCTGGGGAGACTGTCCATGCTCTCAGGTCCTGACCTAGGGCTGTGTGGAAGCCTTGGAGTCCTGGTTGTTCCTGTGCTCATTCTCTCAGCCACAGGCTCACATTCACTGCAGGGCTCTCAGGTGCTCTGCAGGGATCCTGCTTTGGAAGATGAGCCTCTCAGTTTAGAAAATTATGGAGTCTTCCACTCTTATTCCATCCACCTGCTGCTGTCCCTTCTTGAGGCATGAGCTAAACCTGCAGGCTCTCAGCCACCTGTGACCCCATGTTTATAAAGTGAATTTTCAGGCAAAATATGTCTTGAGCAGTTGCACAGATGTCATTGGAGTCACTGCTTGTGCCTTCAGGGCAGTTTATGGCCAGTTGTCAGCTTTCAGAACACTTCTACGAGCTGGGTGTGGTGACGCACGCCTTTAGTCCCAGTTCTTGAGAGACAGAGGCAGGTGGATCTCTGTGAGTTTGAGGCCAGCCTGGGCTACAGAGCAAGTTCCAGGACAGCCAAGGCTACACAGAGAAACACTTGTGTCAGAAAACTAAAACAAACAAAACACAAACAAAAAAATAATACTTTTACATAGAAGGGCTTAAATGTCCCTTAAAAATTATCCAAGTTTATCAACTGGAAACCGGTCAGACTGCTGGTAACTTGATGAGATTTCCCCTCCTGTGAGAGCGTGGCCTGGAGCAGCGAGCTGTGCACAGCCACCACCACCCATGGGAGCTGTGTGTAGATGGGCCAGCTGTACAAAGCATGTTCATGCTTATTGGGGTTCCAAATTCATGGTGATCAGTGTTTTTGCTTTTTTTTTTTTTGTAGGATGATGACAGATACGAGCAAGCAAGTGATGTTCGGGCTCAGCTCAAATTTTTTGAACAGCTTGACCAGATTGAAAAGCAGAGGAAAGATGAGCAGGAGAGGGAGATCTTGATGCGGGCAGCAAAGGCAAGTTAAACCCTCCTCCCAGGTCAGGGGCTCAGCCTTGCAGCCCTCCTCTCCTGAGACACCCACCCGGCACATTGGGTTCCTGGCTAGTGTGGAGGAGTGGGTGTTGTGACTGGATAGGTTGAGGGAAGCCTGGCTCCCTTGGTGTGCTTCAGTGCTGGAGGCTGCACTCGAGGGTGGGGATTTGCTTTGACAGATGTGGACTTCCTTTTCCCTCCCTTCCTCCCTCCCTCTCTTCCTCCCTACTTTCCTCTCTCCCTCCCTCCTTTTCTCTCTCCATCCTATATAGCTCTGGCTGACCTGGAACTCACGATGTAGACCTCAGACTACATGAGGTTTGGCTGGCCTCAAACTCATCAGATCCTCTTGCTTCTGCCTCTTGAGGGCTGGTATTAAAGGTGTCTACCACCATGCTGGATGGTGTGGGCTTTCTTAAGATGTCTCTAACACTTTACCTCCCCAACGTTGTAGACTGTGGTGTGGGATTACATTGCCCTTCAGTCTAGAGCATTCCAAGCTGAGTATAAGAACCTCGTTCCTTCATTATTAGAGTCATCTGGAGATACTAATTGCAGTGTTAAGCTGTTTGTGCAGTGGCAGGGGTGACAGCTGAGCCCAGGTCTCAGGGAACCCTGTCCTAGCTCTCCTCTCAGACCACACTGAGTCAGAGGCCTGTGACAGACTGGTAGCCATGTGCCTAAGAGTCTGTGTCATCACATCTGATGATAGTGATGTGAATCCAGATTAATAAAAACCACAGAAAAGCAAAACAGCCAGCCACTGGCTCTTACCTCTACTTTAGTCGGAAATGGCGATCCTGCCTCCAGGAATCCGAGAATGAGGCTGAGAGCTGTCTCCTCCCACTTTATAATTCTCTCTAGGGCTGGGATTAAAGGTGTGCACCACTGGGATTAAAGGCATGTACCGCCTGGTTTCTATGGCAACTAGTGTGGCTACTGGGATTAAAGGTGTATGACACCACTGCCTGGTCTGTAAGACTGATAACTATTGGAGCTGTTTTACTCTCTGATCCTCAGGCAAACTTTATTAATTAAAATGCAAGCGAAATGCCAGTACAATGATGACTGTTTTTCATGGTGTGTAACTTAAATTTTCATCTTTTGGATATAAACATTTATAAAATTATTAGGAACTCTGACTAGATGCTGTTGTCGGGTGAATGTAGTAGCAGCGCTTCAGTGTTGCTTATGGAAGGCATGACTCTTCCTTTCCTCTCTCACACACAGTCTCGATCCAGACAGGAAGACCCAGAGCAGTTAAGGTTGAAGCAGAAAGCAAAAGAGGTGAGCTTCCCAGCTACGGATTCTTCAGTGCCCATTCAGCAGGAAAGAGAGTAGTTAAGGGCGTTTGTTGCTCCTTAGAACTCTCAGGTGACCAGTGCCATCACAGGCTTTTCCTGTGCAGTTGGCATTGGCTGGAGATTTCATAGTAACTTCTCTAGAAGTGAGAGTTAGGCCCCTTCAACTTGTTCTTCTCATTTTCTGAGCATTTCCAGGTAAGCTTCTGTTTTTAAAAAGTCTTAATATTTTTGGTTACAGACATGTTCTTAGTTTGAAAAACCTAAACTTTAAAGAAGTTGTGACTTAGGAAACTTGAGAAAGTTCTTGATAACTGTTGCTGATCTGTAGTAAGAACTCTGAAGCAACGATAGTTCTTGTTTTCTTCCCAACATGAAGATGCAGCAACAGGAGCTGGCGCAGATGCGACAGCGAGATGCCAACCTCACTGCGTTAGCGGCGATCGGGCCCCGGAAAAAGAGGAAAGTGGACTGTGCCGGGCCGGGATCGGGAGCAGAGGTACAGCAGGAGGAACATGGGGCTGAGGGCTGAGGGCCCGGGAGGGCGCTTTAGAGTGCCCTCCTCAGTATCCAGCAGAGCACCTGGTCTTTGTTTTACATTGTGGAAACCTGACATTCAAGTCACCTTGTTTGTGCATGTCACATGAGCTAAAACATGTGTTCACATGTTATCTCTGACATGTTGTCTCTGATGAGGTTCAGACCAACTTCTGAAAAGCATGGGGCAGAACTCAGACCAGTGTGAGGTGACCTGCAGGTCATGTGACTTAAGGAAGGTGTCACCTGTTTTCTTGAGCCCAAAGGGGGAGTGTCTTAGCTTTCACCCTAATTTTCCATTAAACTATGGTCATTTGAATTTAGGAAGAGTAGTAGCCTCCCTTTGTATCTATACTTGGTTGTCCTCACTGCTGCCCTTTCTCCTACAAAGGATCCAAGGTCTATACATCACCAGTCCCGGGGGATTGGAGGCTGGCTGGGCTGGTGTGCGCTTCTGGTCCACCTGTCTGCTGCTGTTTGCTTCATGCTCAGCTGTGAGCCAGTGTGACTGGCTGTAAAGCTCTAGGTGCTAGTGGGTGTTGTGTCAGTTCACCTGAAGACTGCTGTGACTCCTCCCCTGCCTCGGTGTGAGCCCCGTCTTACCTGACTGCTGTGACTCTGGACCTTTCTCTACGAGGTTTTCTTGGTTCGTTTAAGTCTGGGCATTCAGCCCATTCCATTTGCTGAGCTGCTCAGATGCACATGTGGGTCTCTGCTTTAAGAGTGCGTTTGAAACACCTGGGCTGTTGTTTCTTTAGGTGAGTTTCTGTTCCCATCTGTCTTCTTGGTCTCCTGTTACACATGCACTAGACTGTGGTATGGCCTGTGTTCCTTTTTCTCTGTGCCCTTCAGATTGGGTCATGTTCCTTGGCCTGATGGGGATTCTGCCAGCCCCTGTTGGTTGTTAATTTCCAGTGACGTTCTCGTTTACCAATGTAGACTTAGTTTAGTGCATATAGCAGTTCTCAGCCTGTGTGCTACAATCCCAAAAGACCATCAGAAAACAGGCATTCACATTACGGTTCCTGTTATGAAGCAGCAGTGAAAGGACTTTATGGTGGGGTGGTGTGAGGAACTGTATTAAAGAGTTGCAGTGTTAGGAAGGTTGAGACCCATTGATGCGATGGTTCTTTGAAAGTTCCTATCTCGTTGTGTGGCAGATGTGGAAGTCTGGATGGTAGCTGCGTCCCTCCTAAGTCTTTGAACGTGTGTATTGAAGCTTCTCTCCCAGCCTCAGTTTCTCCTCACTGCTCTCTCTCAGTGTGGACCACTTTCCTGTTTCATTGCACGTTAGGACTGTTGCCTGGGTGCTGGGCATCCCGGTTCAGATATGAGGATGCTCCAGTGATTTTCCTCTGAAGAATGTGGACTGGACTCTTGTTTCAGCAGCCAGTCAGTTAGTGGCTCATTTGCTGTTTACTCTTTAATAAGGCTCTGTGGAGAGGTAGGGCAATTTTTTCAGTCTTAACACTATACCATACCACAGCACAAAACAATACCTCTGTCTGTGTGTGGCTTTTTGCTATTTTAAGATGAGTCTTAATGGATTCTGTCCTTAATCCTGAAGAGGGACTGAACCCTCATGGTGCCACTTGACCTAGCACATCTTGTATTCTGTGTCCTTCGGCCACAGGCTCCACTACTACCATTGGTCTTCTCCTCACTTCCCCTTACTGTCCCAGTGGAGCTGCAGGTTAGTCCTGATATGGCAGGACTGTTTCAGAGTAGCTGTGCCTTGTGAGAAACCTGCGTTCCTGTGGCCGAGAAGAGAGCCATTTCCACACAGGTGCTGTGTGCTGTCAGAGCGGCTCCCTTCTGCCGCTTCGTGGGCCATACTCACTGCACAGCTCACTGGGGTTCAGGAGAAGGTGCTTTGCCTTGGTCCTGCCTGTGTCGCGTTGCCCATGTTGGCTGGGTCTCATTGCTGTGGTTCTGAGTCAGAACTTTATGAAAGAATCGCAAGAGTGCCTGCCTCTTGTGTGCCTTCCTGTCTCCATTCCCCAGGTGTCATCTTTCCTTCCCTCATGGAAGGGGACCATGGCATTGGTACCCTTGCCCCTTGGCAACATGTCCTGGTCTTTCAGTGTGCGGTGTAGTGTGTGCAGTGACAGGCTGTCATTGTGTTGGAGGCAGGTGGTGTGAGATGGGCTGCTTCCTGCGGCCTCAGCAGCGTCTGATGGAGGAGGGGAGGGATGCAGTTTCCGTGCGTGTGCAGTAGGTGACTGGAAACAGGCTTCTGGCATAGGTGGTGAGCTCAGTCGATAACAGTGGGGTCCTGTCAGGATCAGGACCTTGGCCTTTGTGCACGTGGTTACTTCTGCCAGTGTGATTTCCAGGTGTGTTTCTGTTCCTACCTCTTTTTGGGACTTTGCTCTGGAGGGGTTGTGTGCCATGTGGTACAGAAGAATCTGCATGTGACACCTATGGGAACTACTGCTTAGGTCAGTGTGCTACACTGGGCCGGATGCTTCCAGATTCAGACTTTCCGTTAGCGCTGAGCTTGTTGCTTTGAACCCTTCTGACGTGTTATGATTTTGGTGTGGCTGTGCCATGCTGTTGGGCTTTACATCAACTAAAATAAATTGGGGTGGGGGTGGGGGTTGAGACAGGGCATCTCATGTAACCTAGATCGGCCATGAATCTTGTATGGAACTGCTGCTAGCCCTGCCTCCACCTCCCAGGTGCTGTGTGTGCTGCCTGACTCAAACTGAGAATTTCCTGACAGTCAAGTTAAAGCTCATTAGACTTTAATATGAGTGACATGTTTAGTCTCTACTGATAATATTATATATAATTATGTGCATTTTTTATTTGCTGTGTTCTTTTGTGATTTGGAGTTTTGTTTTTGTCTTTGTTTTTTGGTGTGTCATGTGTCTGTGTGTGGTGCTTAAACATGTGTTGGTATACATGACTTCATGTATGCAGAGGCCAGAGAAGGAACCAAACTTGCTTTTGGTAAGGCTAGCTGGCTGGCCAGAAAATTTCTGCCATCTGCCTGTCCACTTCTGGTGCTCCAGTTACAGGCATGTGCAGCCACGACAGCTTTTTCCATGGGTGTTGAGAGCTTGCACTCTGATGTTTATTCTTGTAGAGCAAGTGTGCTCTTACCCACTAAGCCATCGCTCCCTAACATGCAGTCTTAGTTAGGGTTTCTATTACTGTGAAGAGACAGTATGACTGTGGCAACTCTTAGAAGGGTAAACCTTTAATTGGACCTGGCTTGCAATTTAGGGGTTTAGTCCATTATTAGCATGGCGTGGAGTATGGCAGCCAGCAGCAGACATGGTGCATGAGCAGCTCAGAGTTCTTTATCTGGATCTGCAGGCAGTGGGAAGAGAGAGAGAGAGACACTGGGCCTGGCTTGAACTCCTGAAACCTCCAAGTCCATTCTCAGTGACACACTTCCAACAAGGCCACACCCCGAATAGTGCCTCTCCTATTGGCCTACGGGACCCATTTTCATGCAAACCACCACACGTACATTTTTAATTTTTTCTTTTATCTTTATTTATTATTATTGTGGTAGTGTTTTTGTTGTTTGTTTTTGAGACAGGGTCTCACTGTGTAGCTCTGGCTGTCTGTAAATTACCATGTAGACCAGGCTGGCCTCAAACTCACACAGATCACCCGCTTCTGCCTCCTGAGTGCTGGGATTAAAGGCATGCGCCACTGTTCCTGATTTCTTTACAGTTTTTGGATTTAGCCACTTGGCTATGGCGCAGGCTGAGCTTGAGTTCACGATCCTCACCACTCACGTGTTGGGATGGCAGGGGTTCACTCTCACACTTGGCTTCTTTTTGAAGGTTGTTGATGCTAAGACAGGTTTATGTTTGTGTTCTTGTGGTTATTTTTGTCCTTAAACAGTTTTAAATGTTCCTAGTCCCATAGCTATTTCTTTGATGCGATGGTATCTTCTCTTCACACTTCTGCCTCCCTTTCTCCTTTGTTCTGTGAGATTGGCCTCCTGGTAGCTGTTCCCTGCTCAGCTAGAGGCTAACTAAACCTGTGTCTTACATAGTTTTTCTGTGTGTCATGAAGCCAGCCTCCTCAACTCAACTGTGCTTTTTGCTGCTGTCACCCAGTGATGGCTGATGACAGGTGCCATGGTGCTCTTGCTCTGGGGCCCTCACTGTGCTGCAAGCCTTGGTTTTTCTGTTTATATAGCACCAGCACTTTCTTTGTATGACTGCTTTTCTGACCCTTGCCACTCTTTTTTCCTTCTCTTTTCTGATTTTCTTTTTCCTTTTTCTGGGCTTGCTTAGCATTCCTTAATTGTGTTTGTGTTGGCCTCTCCTGAGGTGATTTTTGTCTCTCCTCTCTGTGAGATGGGTGCTTCTGATTTCTGAGCTTCTGAGGCCTGTTGCTCATTGCTCAGAGACACAGTGCTGCCCTTGATCTCAGGTTGACTAGGAACTAGTCTGTGACTGTGCTCTATGTCTCACATATGACCCCTGGTGTTCCGTTACTTGTGGGGTGATGGCACCCTCTCCTGGCAGTATTGGGAACTCTGTCTAGCCTGTGCCATGTCAGTGTCTGCCTACTCTGAGGACATTGTTTTGCAGACCCTGAACCTTCCCCATTTCTTCCCCTTCCCTTCATGTGTGGAAGGTTCTGTTTTGCTATCTGAGGACCCATACAGCCTTACAAGGGATCCTTCCTCACTGTCTGAGTTTGGACCACCTGGGCACATGTCCTAGGTTCCTTCCTGTTCTCCAGTCTCCTGTGTGTCTCTACCTGTCATGAGCAACCTTATTGGGAGTGTGGTTATATCTGGGGTGGGGTTCTTTCTTCTAACACCCCTGACTTGGTGTGGGGGCAGTTTCTCTGAGCGCTTCCATTAGAGCTTTGTGCTGGGGTGGGTGAAGGCGTGGTCCTGGCGCTGAGCCTCTTAGAATTGATGTCATTTCTTAGGGAGTTTTTGGGTGTTTATTACTGTTCTTCAGAAGTTTTGCAGGTGAGTAGGGCTCATCTGGTGCTGGGTGGACTGCTCTCCTACACGCTTCTCTGACATAACTGCCTGCCATTGTCTAGCGAATCAGGAGACAGTTGTCTTCCGAGGAACCCTCACACCGTTTGGGGTACAGAACTCCAGTCTGTTGCTGGAATGGGACTCCTTGGTGAAAAATCAGATTGCAGTATGGTAGCCCTGCAGCCTTGGGGAGCCCAGCACTTTTTCTTGGGACACAGAACTACTCTTTGCTGCACAGACCTGTGTGTATATCAGTCTGGCCATAATAGAGCAAGTTAGATAGCTAAGATTACACACATTTAGTCCTTTCAATAGCTTTGGATGGGCTAGGTGGGTAGTCACAGCAGTACAGGGAGGGTTTCCCTGGCATGGCTGCTGTGCATATGTGTGTGTGTGTCGTGCGCGCACGCTCACACACACACGCCTGGGACTTGTCTGTCTCCATGTCCTCCCTTGAAACACCTCAGAGAGTTCTCTGAACTGGAGTTAACTATGTTAAGGTTTCAACTTTTTTGTGGCGATGGAACATGCCTTGTTTCTGTTGGTCCCTGTACAGGGCTCTGAGCAGAAGCTTCCATCCCAGAGGCCAGGAATACACCCACTCCCTCCCTATACTTCAGCTAAGCCTCCCCAGGGGCCTCTGCAAGTCCAGACTGAATGACCTGTGTGTACTCCCATAGCCCTTGAGGGTTTTGGATATGCTTGGGTGCCACACTGTCTTCTTACTCAGGTCAGCTGGTCGCAGTCCTGAGCCTGAGGGTTTGACTCCTCTTTGCTGTGGTCAGCCCTGTACTTGCTCAGAAATGGCTATAGCATCCAGTGTTCTGTGCCTCAGCTTGTACTTGTGATTTTATAACCCAAATCCCACAGTATTGCTAATAAGGAAGGTCCCTAGAGCACAGGTAAGAATTGTGTTGCATTGTCACCTGACTGCTGACCTTCAAGTTGATAGGGTCCAGCAGTGACAGAGGTCACCAGGCTGGAGGCCCAGGTTGGTTGTGACTACATGAAGCTGTCTGAACCTCATCATTGTCAACATTGGCTCGTCAGAAAGTTTGGGGCACCGATTTGATCCTGTTTGTCTCAATTTCTGACTTTTAGCACTTCTTAACTATTGTACCTGATATGAGTGCTTCCCCCTCATCCCAGCCTTGGTGTTGGCTGTTGCTCCTGAAAGCCGAGGCATGAAATACAGCTTGGACACTGGCCACTGACACATCCTGCTGCCCAGGCAGGGTCTCTGTGGGCCTGGGCACCACACCGTCATCGCCTAAGTTTCCCTCTTGGGTCTATAGTCAGGGCGATTTGGATCAGGTATAGCAAGTACAACGAGAGTGGAACTCACATCTGGAAATGAGACATTTTGGATTTCAACCTGTGACTGGATTTCAGGACCTGTGGACTCTGCCAATCTCAGCAGCCGCTCCTTTTGCTGATCCTGTTACAGACCCTTCTTACTGGCTTCCTTCCCAGAAACTGGCCTGTAGCTCTGTCCAGATCACCAAGATCCCCTTTGAAGGAAGCTCATAGGCCTGCTGGCCCGACTGCAACCCGAGGTGGCTTTGGGGAGATGGATTGTTTTCCTCCTTCTTACCAACTGCTCATGTTTGCTGTGGCCTGTAAGAGGCTCCACTAATCTCATGACGAAACACTGCTTGGGGGCTGTTACTGGCACCAAAATCCAAGGAGATTGTCCACCCAAAAGGATATGGATACCAAGATGATAGTGGCGGCTGGGACCAGAGATGGACAGTGATGGCTTCCCAGTTTCTGAGAAAATTCCAGTATGTTCAGTTGGACTGACACGTGCATGAAGACCAGGTCATCCAGGCATGCTTTCACCCAGCCTGCCTGCTTCCTGTGACTGCCACTTAGTGCCTGCGTCTGTGGCCATGTGGGTGGAATGTGATACTGGAGTTTCTTAAGCTTCGCAGTGGAAGCGCAGTGAGGACACCACTGCAGCACATGTACCTGGATATGCACGAGCAGTTCAGCCAGCAGGACACCTGCCTGGTTCTCTGCTGTGAAGACCGGGATCTTGTGGTTTGAGCCCAGCAGGGGTCAGACGGAGGCAGTGATGTAACAAACTGCTGGACGCCACTGCCTAGTGGCCGAAAGCCGGCCCTAGTGCACCCACATGTCTGAGCAGGAAGGAACTGGGGTCGGCTCGCTGGATAGTTGGTGGCCCAGGGGCTGGGTGTCTGCAAAGGGACCCCTTCCCTGGCTGTGGATCACCAACGTGACCGCTGAGCAGTCGGCCTCTCCAGCTGACCACCAGCCCGCACAGCCCAAGAATCCAGGCCTAGTGCCTCTGTCAACCAAGCAGGGATGGCACAGTCCCAGGTGTGGCATCAAGTGTGAGCTTTGGTCCCCTCACCTGAGCCTCTGGGGCATTATTGCTATGGTGATACGGAAACTGGGGTCTGTGTCCCTCGGAGCCTCTGGAAGGGAGCCACTGCTTTTGCCTTTCCTCCCACCCAGGATTCACTCTGGGGGTGTTGGAGGGTGGCATCCTGAGTGTGTGGTAGAGCGGGGAATGGGGGCTTCTGCCGTAGTTAGGGCTTTCATAGCAGCTCAGCTCCAGCCCTAGAACGCGGAAGGGGCTGTGCTGTGCCTGTTTTCTAAAGAACAGGGACCTGAGATATTCAGGGGATTCTTGAGTCTCACCCCTCCCTCCTAACTGTTCTACAGCCACTAATGCATCTGTCTTCTTCTTTCTTATCACCAGGGCTCAGGCCCAGGCGCAGCGGTCCCAGGCAGCTCCGGTGTGGGAACCCCCAGACAGTTCACACGGCAAAGAATCACGCGGGTCAACCTCAGGGACCTCATATTTTGTTTAGAAAACGAGCGTGAGACAAGCCATTCACTGTTGCTCTACAAAGCATTCCTTAAGTAACAGGATGAGCCGGTGTTTCTGATGGGATGCCTGCGGACTTTTTTATATATTTGCAGATTACGCCTTTTTGTAACAAGCAAATGGGATATTGTTTAAAAACAGCCACCCTTTACAGTGGAGCAGTTTTATACTCCTGTTTCTAAGTCAGCTCTTCAGCGCGGCAGAACCATGTCTGCAGCAGAGAGAATACAGGCCTGTGGATGCTCTTACAGGACAGCTGACCCAAGCTCATCCTCGACTGAGTGGCCTTCTTGCCAAACAAGCCATATTTAAAGACTGATGGAAGCGCTTAGCAAATAATTAGCAGTTGCTCATCCTGTGTGCGTCTTGGTTCAGTTCACTCTGACTCACCCACTGGGTGTACGTCTGCAGCCGGTGACCTCATTTCACTCACGTTACTGTTGTAGCAGTCAGTTGGCGAAGCAAACTGATTTTTAGACTATTTATCACCCCCACCCACCCACCCTGTCCCTCACCTCCCTTCTACGTGAAATTCCCCAGGACACAGCCTCTGAGCAGGGTTGCATTTCTGCTAGTGGAGGCTGGGGTGCAGCACCTGTACAAATACATTTTATTTGCTGCAGTTTCGAAGCTGTAAAGTGGAAGGAAGCGAGAACCTTTTCAGCATAAATATATTTTACTTGCACTGTGTTTTTAGCTCAGAGTGAAAACTTAGATGAAATAAATCAGAGTTGAGAAGAATCAACAACAGACTGTTTCTCAGTGTGGATCAAGTGTTGGAAATGGTTGGTGTATTTTGTCAGTAATTGTACATAATTTTTGGCACATAACATAAAATGGCTATGTAAACTATAATTATTTTGCTAAGAGACTGTATGCAAGCTGTGGCCAACCTTACAGGCGTCCAGAGCAAAGCCCTTCTTTGTACCTATTTTTTTATTACAAATATACTAATTGGTTCTTTATATTTTCAGAGGTTATTGTATTAAATTGTCTATTGATAGTACTTTTATGACTGTAAATACTTTGGCTTTCTCCGTGTGGATTCTCATGTTAGACTTTAATTCGCACGTGTGAGCGGAACGCTGATCAGTATTTTTTACCAACACCCGAGAACTGTTACACCTTTCATTTTATCTTTTAGGAAATCCCGTCTTTCCATTTTTTCATGTAAATTTTGCACAGTTACTTGTTCATATGTAAATATTTTACTTTCAAAAATGAAGTTTTTAATTGCTATTGTTTTATATAGGATTGAAAGAAAATTAACTCCTTTATTAAAAACAAATTTATCTGTATTTGTTGTGCCTGTGTTTCCAGTTTCTGAGATTCTTTGATAATGCTTTCAAGACTGCTCTCTGGTCCTACTGAATCTGGGGCTTAACTGTGAGGGCAGGCCCCCTTCGGGAGCTGGAGGTAGGGCCAGTCCTCCATTCTGTCCGCCCAGAAGGTATGGAGGAGCTGTGCTGTTTGCATTTTAGGCCTTATCCTATAGACCATCTGGGGTGGGGGTCGGGTGTATAGGATAGATGGATACCCCATCTGGGTGACCAGATGATCTCACCTGGTGTAAACGGGAGAGGGATGGAGTTTCTGTCACTCTGGTGTATTTGGTGGTCACAGTGAGCCATGCCTCCTAGCTCCCCCCACCCCCCCAAGTCAGTGTGACTGGAACCTCTACTCCTCCTGGCAGGTGGGTAGGCTTACCTGAAGACTCCGCCTTCACTGACATCACTGATGTCCTGATCTCCTACAGCTGTCATAATGAAGGCCACAGACCAGGGGTCATGGACGGAAATATTCTCAGGTCCTGCCTGGATGGCTGGAGGCCTGAGGTCCAGGGGGTAAGGGTTTGCCTTCCAGATTTTCTGCGGTGGCCCTGGGCATGCCGGAGCAACACCTTCTCTCTGCCTTCCCCTTTGAACAGCTTCTGGCATGGGTCTGTGGAGCTTTCTGTCAGAACACCAGTCTCGTTAGGTCCAGGGTCCCCAAGCAGCATCATGCTAGCTTGGTGACCATAGCAAAGACTCCATCTCTAAATCCAGATGCCCTATGACCTTTGGGTGGGACACCGTTCAACACACAGAACCTCCAGTGTTGAACACTGAGAGATTGAGACATTGAGAGGGACAGTGAATTTGTGGGGTAAGATTCCTGTGGCCTCTCTGCTCTTGTTTCTCACCTTCCTGGCCTGTGATTGACTACGGAAAGGGTGCTGACTTCCTGTGGGTGTAGTTGACTGGGTTTTCACTCTCTTGCTTTTTCCGCTGCGTCCAGTCCTCCAGAGCAGCCACAGTGAAGACTCAGGTCTGTGCCCAGGTGAGATGGATGGTCCTGCAGTGGTGGTGTTGGCACCAGACAACTCCAGAGCTAGGTTCCCAAGGTCACTTGACACTTAGCCGGCAGTAGGAAGGAGTCTTCTCAGATCCCATTTAGCTGTTTGCACATCAGGGAGAGAAAGCAATGCCATTTGTGTCTCCTGTTAACCTCTGCCCTCACTACCCCCGCTTTCAGGGCTCTGGCTGGTCCCATCAGGCATGAGACCAGATCTGGAGGAGAAGGTGAAGTAAGGGTGGAGGGCAGGGGAAGTGCCCTGGGGATGGCCGGGGCTGGGGCTGTGAGCTCAGTGCCACACCAAGGCCTGCAGCCAAATGTAGTTCTGCACATGGGAGGAAACTTGGGAACATGCTGTTGACGGTAATGCCCAGACAGTAAGTACATCGAGAATGCGTTTAACGAAGGCTATGTGAGATGCTAGTTTTCTGCTGCGCTTGAAACCTCTTGACAGAAGTAACGAAGGAGAAAGGGTTCAAAGGTCCAGTCAGTCATGGCAGGAACTAAGGCGGCAGATTCTCCGCAGTCAGGAAGCAGAGAGTGGAAGCCTGCTACTTACTCACTCCCCTTCTCCACTACTCACTCCCCTTCTCCACTACAGGCACGGTGGGGTCTCTGAAATCAAGAGTATCACTTGCAGGCGTGCACAGAGGCCTGTCTCCCAGGTGATCCTAAAACTTGTCAGGCCAGATTCGAGATGACCTAGCCAAACCCTTAGGCCAGTGGTTTTCAATATGTGGATTGTGACCCTCCCCCTCTGGGTGATTGCGTATTGGATATTTATGATTCATAACAACAGCAAAATTACAGTTCATGAAGTAGCAATGAAATGATTTAATGGCCAGGGGTCCTCACAACACGAGGAGTAAAGGGTTGCAGAGTGCAGAAGGGTTGGGGACCACTGCCCTAAGTGGAGCAGTGCTCTGGATTTACAAACCTGCAGTCTGGATTCGGAAGTTCACGCGGAGATGAGGCCTTAGAGTAACTGAGAGGACCTTCACTCCTGCCTCATCAGGGGAGCCTGTTGGTGCTGTGATGCTTGTGATTATGGTCGCTAGACCTCTGCCCACCGCAGGTTATGGGGGTGACCGGGCATTTGTGTATTATGGCCACCATGTGGAGGGCAGTAAGCATTCAGTGCATTGTCAGAGTCAAGTCTTTGGTGTCCAAAGCAGTGTGCTGCCCTCCTGCAGGGAGGAGTCCACGGACTTCCTTAGTCTGGCCTGTCTGTGATGTCTGCTGATCTATAGTGAACTATTCAGACGGTGAACACAGGAGACAGATGTTACTTTATGCCTTGAGATTGCTCTATCATTGAGACAGGTTAAAGATAAAGTGGAACGTGATTCCTTTTTGGAATGTTTTTTAAAAAAGATATCCTTATAAAAATAAGAAGGTGATTTGGAAAAACGTGTGCCTGACAAAGAAGTAAGATCCTGCAGCTTGGGGCAGACAAGGTGGCTCAGTGGGTTTGCCACCAAGCCTGCCGACCTGAGTTCAATCCCTGGGATCCACGTAGTGGAATGAGGGAATTGACTCACAAGTTGGCCTCTGACCTCCACGTGTGTTCTTTGGCATGTGTACATCCATGTGCATGCACACACGTGAATCCCAAAGCCTGGCAGGTTACTTTTCTCGTTCCTTTAGCTGAGAGATGTGGCAGGAAACGAGTAGGGAAGAGTTTATTGTGGCTTAAAGTTTGTGGGTGCAGTCTGTCCTGGGATGGTGGGCGAGTCCTGGTGTCAGGTGCTCGAGGCAGCTGGTCAAGCTGGATCCAGTCAGGAGGCAGACATGGGTGTTAGGGCTCAGCTCCTTTCCTCCTTTTTATTCAGTTCAGCCCATGGGATGGTGTGCCACCCCCATTAGAACAGATCTTGCTACCAATAACCTGATCTAGAAACCCCATCCACAGACATGTCCAAAGTCTCATCTAGGTTTAGGTCATCCTGTAAAGTTTACAAGATTAACCATTCCACCCCCTGACCCTATTGGTGGGACAGAGCCCAGAGCTCAGAAGCCATTGGAGCCTTTTGTGCTTGATAAAGGCTCCGACGTTGAGCTAACTGAAGCATCCCTTAGCAACACCAAAGGATATTTATAGGGACACAAAAATATCCATTGCTTAAGGTAGAAGTCCCAGGTGTGCAAAGAACTAGAAACGGCAGCAGCTTGGAGAGAAAAAAATGCAAGTAATTGAAGCAGACTTAGGAAGGGGACAGGTGTAGTGGTACATGAAGAAGCCCAGCCGTTGAGACTGTTCAGTGTTAGAGAAGTAGAGAGGAGGAGACAGGCAAGTAAGAGCTACAGCGTCTGGGCTGTGGAAGACAGGTGGGAGCAGACACCACAGACGTCATGACACACAGCACCCTGCTGGAGTAAAGCAGGCTGTATGGGGAGCAGACACAGGACTAACTAATGTTGTTCTTAAGAAGTATGTGTGTTGCTTTACTGAGATAACCCAGACCCAAGAAGATGAATATGGTATGCACTCATAAGTGGATTCTAGCCATAAATAGAGGACATTGAGCCTGTAATTCGTGATCCTAGAGAAGCTAAATAAGAAGGTGAACCCAAAGAAAAACATATAGTTATCCTCCTGGATATTGGAAGACAAGATTGCCAGGCAAAAGTTGGGAGCACGGGGGTGGGGTTGGGGTAGGGGAGAAGGGGAGATGGGGAGAGAGAAGGGGAGGATTGGGGAGAGCTTGGCAGAATGGGATGGTTGAGGTGGAGGAAGGGTGGATATGGGAGCAGGGAAGTAGATATGTTAATTAAGGGAGCCATTTTAGGGTTGGCAAGAGACTTGACTCTAGAGGGGTTCCCAGGTCCAAGGAGATGTCTCCAGCTTGTTCCTTGGGCAGCAGAGGAGAGGGTGCCTGAACTGGCCTTATCCCATAGCCACACTGATGAATATCTTGCATATCACCATAGAACCATCATCTGGTGATGGATGGAGATAGAGACAGAGATCCACATTGGAGCACTGAACTGAGCTCTCAAGGACCAAATGAAGAGCAGAAGGAGGGAGAACATGAGCAAGGAAGTCAGGACCGCGAGGGGTGCATCCACCCATTGAGACAGTGGGACTGATCTAATGGGAGCTCACCAAGGCCAGCTGGACTGGGACTGAACAAGCATGTGATCAAACCAGACTCTCTGAATGTGGCTGACAATGAGGGTTGACTGAGAAACCAAGGATAATGGCACTGGGTTTTGATTCTACTGCATGAACTGGCTTTGTGGGAGCCTATTCTGTTTGGATGCTTACCTTCCTAGACCTGGGTGGAGGGGGGAGGACCTTGAACTTCCCACAGGGCAGCGCACCCTGACTGCTCTTAGGACTGAAGAGAGAGGGGGAGGGGGAGTGGGGGGAGCAGGAGGGAAATAGGAGGAGGGGAGGAGGTGGAAATGTTTAATAAATAAGTACATAAATATGTGTGTGTGCGTGCGTGCATGTGGGCACAAGTGCAGCTGCCCACGGAGGCTGGAGGTGTCGGATTTTCCTGATGCTGGCAGTCCTGACCTGAGAGCTGGGAACGAGACTCCACTGCTGAGCCATCTCTCCAGATCTAAGAGGCTTTGTTTTGTTTTCAGTTTGATGAAACCTAAACTCAATAAAATTTGAGTCTATGAAATACAAAGGAAAAGGCAATATCAAGGCACGTAAAACCCAGTATAAAAAGGAAACACTTAGCCAGGCCAGTGGTGGCGTATTCCTTTAATCCCAGTACTTAGGAGGCAGAGGCAGGTGGATCTTGTAAGCTTGAGGTTAACCTGGTCTACAGAGAGACAGCCAGGATAGCCAGGGTTGTTACACAGAGAAACCCTGTCTCAAAGAAACCAAGGCTGACATCTTTGTTGGGAAAATAAGAACGAGGACATGATGGCACAGCATACTTGGAACACTCAAAGAAAAATTCAAGATTTTACGTGATAAAATGTCTTTTTTAAAAAGAAAGGGATG